AAACACCCCACATTTCATTCTTCACAATTAAGCAACATTTTTGCTTTTGTTAATTCAAGAAACCTAAAATTAGAAGGCACAGAAAATACGCAATAAAAGGGACACTTCCTATTTTTACTTTTTTAACCACCACCACCCCCCGCGAAGTCCCTGCTGGCATCATTTAGATTAGACTTGTGGGTAAAACTTGTCCATTGACAACTGACCTGATATGATTAACATTAAAGCAGTGGCTCATGAAGTTTTCCAGAATACAATCTTGATGTTTTATTTGCAAACACACTAAAGAGCCAATACATTGTCCAGACATGGATACCCTCTTGCACCTAATAAATGCAAACACAAAACACAGCTCATGCTTCTATTTCAATAGAACTACAGTTGCAACAGTTCTCTTCTCCAGGAGGATAAGATCTTTCAGACTATAGCTGCTACTTATTTTTGCTTTGTTTTCAAAGATGCTCTTCAGCAGGCTGAATATTCGCACACTAGCTCCCTGTTATCTCCAGCCCAGAACCTACTATTGTCTAATTGTGCCAAATAGGGCTACCCATTTTTGTTACGACTGTTCAAAAAAATAAAGATAAGCATTGGCATTTACATTGGTAAACCCACAATATGAAGGCTTGCTTAACATCTCTATCAGTGACCTGGAGGAAGAGGCAGAACACTCTTACTCATGAGGTTTGCAAATGACAACCAACTGGGAAAGGGAAGCAGCTGACACTTGAGAGCAGGGCTGCCACCAGGAGGGACCCAGACAGTCTGGAGGAATGGGTTAACAACAGCCTCATGATGTTGTTATGCCAAGCCCTGTCCCAGCAAGGGAGAGCCCTGCAGCCGTGAGGCTAGGGTCAGGAAACAGCTCTGGGGGATTGGCCCTGGGCACTGGAGGGCAGGAAGCTGAGCCAGGGCCACCTGTGTGTCTGGGCAGCAACAAGGGCCAATAGTGCCTACAGTCACATGAGCAGGTCACAGCCCTGAGAGCCAGGGGAGGGCAGGGACTATATCCTCTGCTTGGTGCTTGTCAGACCCCAGCTGGGTACTGCCTCCAGTCTGGGTCCCCAACACAGAAACACCAACAAAATGGTGGGAGATAAGGCGAGGCCACTAAGACATGGGGGCTGAAGCCCTTGCCCTGCAAAGAGAGGCTGCAGGACCAGGGCTGGTTCAGCTGGGAGGAGGGACAGCTTCGGCGGCACCCAACAGCATCCCTGGCACCAGTGGGAGGGAATGGAGGAGACACAGTCGGGCTCTTCACAGTGGTGTGTGGCAGGAGGGCAAGAGGCAGCAGCACAAGCTGACACACCAGAGGCTCAGGCTGGAGATAAGGAGAAGCCTTTTTCCCCATGAAGACAGCCCAGCAGTGGAGCTGGGGCCCAGGGAGGTTGGGACACCTTTGGCCAGGGAAGGTTTCACACCCAGACAAGGAGGGGTGAAGTCCTGAGCAGCCTGGTCTGACCCTATGGCTGAGCCTCCGGTGGTCCCTGCCAGTGTGAATGATTCTGCCATTGTGTGAAACACAGCAGAACGGTTTCCACTAACACACAAAGTGTAAACGTAGTTTTGGCCCTCTCTTCCCTCCAAATGGGCAAACCTCCTTTGGGCTTTTTCATATCAGTTAATTCTACCAACATGTAAAGAAGTCTTGGTAAATTTTCTGGTTCAGACTGTGTAACATATTATATAAATTTAAGTAGGTTTATTTATACTTACAGTTTTTAACTTGTTCTATCTTATAACTACTGAATTTATTCTGCTTAATATAGAAACATTTCTCTTTAAATGAGAGACATTTCATTTTCTTACTACTTCCTCCCACCACAGTAGCGCTCCTGTATTTCATCTCTGGAAAGACAAGCAAGCAATGCTTCATGTATAAGGTCTAAGTTCTGCTTTTGCAGAAGTAAGCATGAATCGCTTGGTTGTGAAGACAGATATCTAATCGTGTATTTAAGGTAGGCACATGCTCATTTGCTCATCCATTCCACCTAAAGACAACAAGAACTGAGCTCTGACATGAAGTTAATCACAAAAACACTTCACTTTGCTTCACTGTCAGGTCAATCTTTATTATACTAATCATGCAGCAGCAATAAGCAGCAACATCTTTATTGTGATGGCTTTTTACATGGGTGCAGGACTCACCCCTCCTGCCTTTAGCAGCTTTCTTCTGAATTCCTCTGTCGGGTTGTTGAATGTGAGCTTTTCACAGCGGAGGTGATTTACAGGTGGGTGGCCTTCAAGGTGCAGGAATAAGTCATAGTCAAATCGAACTTTCTTAGGTTCTTCCTGAGGGTTGAAAATAACCAGATAGAAACATCTAGCACCAAAACTAACTAAGTTGAAAACAAGGGCTACATAAAGACTGTCAATTAAAATGAAAATTATGTAATTTTTAACCATTCTCTATGTTCTCGGAATTTACCAAGCGTCAGCAGAGCTACAACAAATCAGAGAAGCTCCTATCAGCCCATGATAACACATGGTAAAATGCATGAACTTCATGAACTTCAAGCTGTCCTGACAAGGCTTAATTGAAAGTGTTATGTCATGTTTGGCACAGGCTACAGACATACGCATAGGCAAGTATCATGATGCAGCTAACACAAGGTAACTCAGTCACCAACACAATCACACTTCTGAGCCCTAGATAGTACTGAAGACACTGCAATAAGTTTTGAATGCAAATTCCTCCACCGAAGCCAAAATCTATTGTTTTCTTCACAAGCTGTAGAAAGGGGTAAGAATGAAACTGCTGCAGCCAACTATATTTGATCTCCTATGTATGGGGTCTGCTCATTTATTAATGAAACTTCATTGCCTTGAACAAGCGTGGCCAGCTAGATTTCAAGTGTTCCACCACAGCTTCCGAATGATTAAAATTCTCTGCCACTGCCATGAAAAAAGTGAAACTGAATGTTCCCTGTACCAATATGGAGAGAGAAAGAACAGGAAAGGCAAATTTACCTTGGAAGAAATCATTAGTGCTCTACTGCCCTGAGAAAGCCTCAGCTGAAAAAGGACACTAGTGACATTGAACAGACTTCAGTTTGTAATACCAGAGAGAAGATACTAAGTACATTTTGTGTTATACATTTACACAGTCCCTTCTAGAAGCTGTATATAAATTAAGTGCTCTTTTAAGCCAATATTAAGTAGCCCTTCCTCCAAAGGTCCTGATGTGCAACAGAAGCCACCAGACCAATGTCAGTCTTAAGGCAGAACACAAGTAAAAGGTCAAATTCAGGAAAAGCTTTAGTAAAAAGGGAACCACAAGGGAAGAGGAGGAAGAAATACAGCAAAAATCTTAGCACATATCCAACACTCCATGTAATCAAAATGTGTGCTCTTTTCAGTGACAGATGTTTAAAGAATTCACATCAAAAAAAGTTTAGTTTTGATTCAGGATTCCAAGGATGTGAGAACAGAAAGCACAGAAATGGCAGTTATTCTAAAAGTTAAATCAGAGGTTTCAAATACAGCCAAGGGACATCCTCATCATCCCGTATCTAGACTTGGAGCAGAGACAACAGGATGGGACCTGAAATAAAAGGCCTGCAGTAGTCTGTTTCTGAAGACAGAAGAGAGTAGTTCCCTTACATGAACTATTTTCTTGATGGACCATTTTCAAAGGCAACCACAGACCAAGATATTTCTTACTGTTAGAAAGATTAACATATGATTTCTTGGAGAAAAAAGAAGGAAGTGATTTACTCCCCAGTCTGCTTAGAAAACTGTGACGCTGCTACAGGCAAACAGTTGGTACCAGCAGCTTTGCCATAAAAGCAAAGTTATAAGAATTTATAAATAAGAGTCTTCAAAGAATTCTGTGGACAGTTAGATGAACATAAGTAGTGGTTTCAAAGCAGACTTTTACTATACAAACAACTCCCAGTACCACTGCCATTATTTCAAAACGGTGTGACAGTGAAGGCAGAATATACTGCAGTTTATAAGCCTTATCCTTAATGGACTGCATTTTCCAGAGTAGGAGTCTTCTGACCTAAAAGCATTTTTTCAAGAACTTGGTCTCAATGGCTAACAACTATAGCCTGCTGCTGCTGAATTTGGGAGGGGGGGTTGTTTGTCATTTCCCTAATTCTTTAAAGCTTGGAATATTTTCCGTCAGGGTGACATGCCTATTAGATTTTCTACCAATTTCTACTTAGTCCTGGGAACAGGCACCTTTTAATTCTCCATGGTCCAGGTGGCTTCCTGTACCCCTGCCTTCTCTATTCATTAGGGTACTTTCTGAATCAGAAATTGAAAAGTTGTCTACCTTGAATAAGTGATGATGGTCTGTCTCCTCTTCCTCCTTCTGTCTATCTCCTCTTTTTCTGTACTGGAATACCTGTGAAGTGGCTTAGGGGAGGAAGAGTAGCTGAGCCAGGAGAAAGCAGTAATTTGCCTC